GATATTATCTTGTAGCTCATATATGGACTGGATTCTTGTCCTCCTCATTCTGAGCTCTCCTTGACTTTTATTCTTACCTCCTGTAACTTTCATTCTTTTACTCAAAAAAGGCCATTATTTCAGCCATTTTCACTGTTTTCTTATCCTTCCTAGTTTCTTTCCTATACTATTTTTCCACTCTTTTTTTTTCTGTACTATTTTGCCCTTCTCTCCATTTTCCTAACTGCTGGATTTCCCCAATTTTAGCCATCTTTCAATTGTTCTGGCTATCCTCAGATGCTCCCTCAAGGTTATCAGACCTTCCACCGAGACGGAATTCCTTAGTCTATGGACAGGCTAAGTGGAATGGGTCCTGTTGCTGGGCTTAGCATATGCCCTGAATATTCATGCATTTATTTTGCTTCTTTACAAAAATCCATCATCCGATAGAAATTGAAAGATACTTCCTGAAGCATATTAAAATCTCTGAAAACAGTATTGACTATATTGTCTAATAATTAACATGACTGGTAAAATAGCTTTATCATTGAGGAAAGTATCAGAAACTGTATTTCAAACTCCTGAATTCTTGACACTGACAAAGAGACAATGAGAATGATCTTAGGATTTAAAAAAAAGAAGAAAAAGCACCATATTTGCAGGAAATTGCACCATAAAAGTCTCAGTTTCACAACCCTCCTCAAGTTTCATTTTATTACATCTTTTCTCTTCACCAGTCAGTAAACTGGGTTAATGATTAACCTGTCTCAAAATAATTCATGAACAAAATTACAAGTAAATCTCAGTATTGGATTTTTGAAACATCTCCTTGTTCAAAGAAGGTTCCTTTTTCTTTCCTCTATTTCCCTGTATTTATCTTTTCTTCCAATTGCATTTTATCTCTTCTGTTTTTCTATTTTGCTCCCTAGTTTGTGTTTTTTTGCCAGTTTTTTATTTCCTACATAATTCATCTAATTTGTCATTGTACAATTTCTTATAACTGCTTCTTAGCTTATTCCTTTTCTTCATTTGTCACATTTTATTTTTCATCTGTTGTGTTTTCATACAGTTTTGGAAAGTTTTACAAATAGACTTTTTAAAAAAAATGTATATAATGCTTTCATAGAAAAGGTAGTTGTTTCTTTTTCTTATATCCTTCCCTGTATAAAAATAAAAATGTAGTAGTTCTGTCTTTGCCTGTATTTCCTCTTTCCTTCTCCAAATTTGACCAGACTTGAAGGACTTAGATATATAATAGTGTTATTTTCTATAATTTAGGAATACCTTTTGACTTAAAAAGCAGAAGAGAAGTTGAAAATAATATAGTAATTCTACATGTCCTTCCTGCTTCCCTATTCTCTCCACATGTTTGTAACCTCCCCTTTCTTTTTTAGTGTATCTCTTTCATAAACCTTTGTCCCCAGAAATTCTGATTCAGTAGACTTAAAATGGAATTCTGGGCTTTTTATATTTTGAAAAGCTCCCCATGGGAGTTAGATATGCACTTCTTATTAAAAAACGAATGCTTAATATTGAAATCAAAACACAATAAGCTTTCTAACTATGATGAATAATCCAACAGATTTAATTATGATTTTCTTTTTGTCTAGAACCAAGACTAGATGTTAATTGCCAGAGAAATAGATAAGAATGACTATGACAACAGTACATTAATATGATATCAAAGCTTGGAAATTTTATTGGTAATGAATAATTCAGTACTTAAAATATTTAGAAGCTATAGAATTAAAATTAATTAATGTAGTTCACTGTGTGAATAAAGTTGATTGAGATTTTACATTTAATTTTGTAAATCCAATGTTATCTTTTCCAGCTCAGAAAACACCACGTACAAGTTATTACTTTCTGTTTTGATCCCTTATTTTTCTCTCTTATGCTTTATCACTGAAAACTCTCCTTGAGCAGGCCATGCACTGTAAATATTTCTCCTGGTTGCAAAACCTCCTCATACAAATGCAGTAGACTATTTAATGAGCTCTTCTTTCACAAAATTAAAAAATACCTGAAAGCCCTGATTTGAGATTCTATATAAATGAGATTTAGATCTAACAATTTTAAATTATTGCTTCGCTCTTAGCTATTCAATTCTATCTCTTATTTGGGAAACCGAAATAATAAAACCATTGCTGATTCTACAATTAGGTTGTAAAAGTCACTGTAGCCATCAGCCATGAAGGAAAAGGGCCAAGTTCAAAACTACAAAGCAAAGAGGCTGAGATAAAAAATGCTGCAGCAGCTTTAGTTTATGGCATTATAAGCAGGAATAAGAATTCCTTGATTACTTAACAAAGGCTCAAAAGGCATTTACTCCATTACCTTACAACTCAAAGTGGTATTCCTGGACCAGCAGTATTGGCATTTTTTTTGAAGTTTGTAAGAAATACAGAATTTTGGTGCCTCCACGGACCTAATGAAGCAGGACTTGCAGTTTAATAAGATCTCCAGGAGATTTTTATGCACATTAAAGTCTAAGAAGCACCGCTATGGTATACATCTGATGTGTGCCCATGCATTTTTTAAAAGTATGAAGTATAGTTGTAAGTATTGAACACTCATGAAGGAACAAATAAGAGCCATGGTCTTTACCCTCTAAATACCTCCCTGATGTCTATGTTTTAGGCAAAATTTTTTTACCATTTCAGTAGTCACTGATGCTTGCATGATCCAGTTTATTCCAAAACAATGGTGATTCTCATGTAATAGTTCATGTTGCCTTAATAATTTACGTTGTCTCAAGTTCTCTGCCCAGGCCCCAATACACACCAAGGGCTGTACTCGTCCCCTAACTCCTGCTCTCGTACAGTGACATAGAGCCCAATTTTATATACCTGGTCACATCATGGAGATTGCACACCACAGGCCTTAACTTCTGCCACACTCTCACTGCCTTTAACCCTCCATATGCCTAAGTCCTATGCTTCTTTAAATTCCAAATTTGCCCAGAAGTCTCCTCATCCTTTTCACTGAGATCATCCCTCTTCCGGCCTACCATGTATTGATCACCTTACTTTTTTATCCTACTGTATGTAGTATAACAAATTATCACTTACAATTGTGTATTATTTTTTCAACTAGATTATGTACTGCCTAAGACCTAGAAAATTGTGCTTATTTATTTGAATCTCTAGGAGGATCAGTAATAAGTATTAATACTAATGACACTAAGGTGATGATGAGCCTGAATTTCCTCCCTTCCTTTCTTCCTACTTCTCTCCTTTCCTCCCTTCTTTTCTTCCTCCTTCCTTCCTCTGTTCCTTCCTCCTTCCACTTTTTCTTCACTTCCCTTATTCATAAATTCATGCATTCACTCAGCAAATGCTTATTGAAACCTTCCATGCACCAGACATTGTACTAAACAACAGGAAACAATCATGAATAAGACACAATATCTGACCTCAAAGAATTTATGATATAAAAGTAATGGCAAAAACCGTGATTACTTTTGCACTGACCTAATATATAGACATAGTTTGTTATGACTGGTGTCTCTATTACTAAGCAATGACTGTCACATGCAACACTGATCTGAACAGGTGGTAAAGAGTGAGATGTAAGCAATGGAGCAAAGCCAACTAGTTACAAGGAAATATCACATGTTTACTAGAGCACATCTCATGGGCATTCAAGAGAGTATGGCCAGGACAGCTTGTGAATAGTTCAGTAACTGTGCATAGTTTTATATTCATTGTGAGGCACTGTGTCACTGGAATAATGACCTTGTTATCATTTTTTGCTGATTTACAGAGTATTTTAATTGCTAAAAGTAGGCTACCAAAATTTCCAGTATTCAAAAATAATTTTGCTTGAATGTAGTAAAAAAAAAAAAAAAGGCAAGAAATTTATGTGAAATGAGAGTCTAAGGGAGCTTTACCTCAGTCTCAGAAAACATGCATTCGTTCCTTCATTTAGCAAGCATGTACTGGTGTCTACTATAAGCTTGCTATTGTGTCAAGGAGTAGGAGAATATAAAAATATTAGAGAATTTGAATCACATCTATTAGGAGACTTTTCTACATATTGACATTATTCTGTCAGTGACACAAGGATTTGAGTCATTTAGATTTAAATATGGTAGGTATCTCAAGTTCTCAGATATTATTTCATTTTCTAAGGTTCATATTTAGTTAATATGTTATTTTAATTGCCTTACAAATTCTAGATTATCTTTTTTAAAAAAATAAATAGAACATAATGGCCAGTTTTATTTAATGGTAAAAAGCATTTTTGTTTTTGTATGTACTTGGTTATAATATTCTCCTTTTCAATTGAACTATTTTTCTGATACTTTACTCTTAAAATTTCATTCAGGAAAAAAAGTAAACAATATTTAAGCTTGACAATCATAAAATTGTTCTGGTGACTATAGATTATTTTAAAATTTATTACTGTACCTTACGGATATCTTGATGGCATGCTCCTGAAAGCAATTAATCCTCAGTTTTATGTGGCTTATAATGCAAAATACATTGATGTAGACAGAATTTGAAATAAATTTTCTTCTAAAATAGCAATTAATTTTATTTAAATATCTCTACAGGTTTTTTAAATACTGTGACTAAACTATATTTGTTCTTTTTCACCTCTCTTATCCACAATCACTAAGAAACCCAAATACTTTGTTCATGTTTAAATTTTACAACATTTCATAGGCTATTAAACATGGAACATCCTTGTGGGGACAAGAAATCGAATTTGCTCTTGAGAAAGTTTCCAACTAATTGATTTGTAGGACATTATAACATCCTCTAGCTGACAAGCTCACAAAAATAAAAACTGGAGCTAACCGAGAGGATGCTTTTTTCCCTGACACATAAAAGGTGTCTTTCTGTCTTGTATCCTTTGGATAGGGGCATGTCAGTTTCATAGGGAAATTTTCACATGGAGCTTTTATATTTCTTTCTTTGCCAGTACAACTGCATGTGGTAGCACATTGTTTAATCTTTTCTCAAATAAAAAGACACGGGGCTTCATTTTTGTTTTGCCTTTTTGATATCTTACAGGAACTCCAGGATGGCATCGGGCAGCGGCAAACTGTTGTCAGAACATTGAATGCAACTGGGGAAGAAATAATTCAGCAATCCTCAAAAACAGATGCCAGTATTCTACAGGAAAAATTGGGGAGCCTGAATCTGCGGTGGCAGGAGGTCTGCAAACAGCTGTCAGAAAGAAAAAAGAGGTAGGGTGACAGATCAAATAGGAATTATAACATTTTAGCAGACCTTTTTAAGCTGTTCTTAAAAAATATTTCATTGTAGATTAGAAGCAGGGTGAAAGGCACTAACAGTAAGGAACCTATCAACCGTTAATCAACAGCAGTAAATAAATTTTTTATTTTTTATTTTTATATACTAAAATATGTACTTGTTGCTGGTTAGTGGTTTTCTGCTATTTTAAACTTTAAGTTTGCTTTAAAAATCACACATGATTGCTTAAAGGTGAATATCTTCAATATATTTTAACTTCAAGTGAAAGGCACTAACAGTAAGGAACCTATCAACCGTTAATCAACAGCAGTAAATAAATTTTTTATTTTTTATTTTTATATACTAAAATATGTACTTGTTGCTGGTTAGTGGTTTTCTGCTATTTTAAACTTTAAGTTTGCTTTAAAAATCACACATGATTGCTTAAAGGTGAATATCTTCAATATATTTTAACTTCAAGCTGAATCTCAGTTGTTTTTCAAGAAGATTTTAAAAAGCAATTATAAATGATTGTTTTGTAAGAAAGACAGATCTTTGCTTAGTTTTAAAAATAGCTATAATTATGACTATGAATCTAAAAACAGTAATAGTGATATTTACTTCCAGTTTCACCACATTTGTGAATATATTCTTGAAGGGGAACTTGAGCCAAAAATGTCCAAGTTTAATGGGGAAAACAAAACCTCAGAAAGGTTACCGTCAAATTCAATCATCATTTAAATTTCCCTTGGAATGAACTGAAGGCACAGAAAGCCAAATGAGTGGTGCTGCAGTTGGAAAGCATAGATAGTTTATAAATGGGATTTTGTATTATGCTTCCAGTTGTTGATGTTAATGTGTCTTGTTTCATAAAGGAAGACTTGGCCTTTATTTACCAAATGAGAATATTGTTATGAGCAATGAAAACTTTGTTCTGTTGCCAAGCTCTTGCATCCCACCCATCATCCACATAATAGGTGGATTTTAATATTCAGGAAGCTAGAACAACTCATTGATGAATGTCTTTGGTTAAGATGTATTAAAAAGAAGATTTTAGAATTATGTCAATTGTCTTTGCCCACCTCCTCTTTCCCTCTTTATTCATGTTACATGCTTCAGAAAGTAGGCACAATTCATATTTTGTACAAAAGAAACACATTAGTTGACCTAAACACACACACACACACACACACACACACACACACGCACATCTTGCCAAAGTTAAAGAATAATAGCCTTATCGAAAGATATTTTGTATTAAGTCTTGGTTTTGAAAATCTTCTTGATTATAGATAGATAAAGAACTAAACTTTGTAGTTAAACTGCTTCCTTAGGTAAGTCATATACTTTTTTCCCAGATTGAAATTCTTCTATTAATCATACAAGTATGTTATTATTTAGATAACTGACGTGCTTATACTATGAACAGGTATAAATCTGTATAATGTCATTTCTCAACTAGGCTCAATCTAATCCAAATTAAAATAGTAAGAAATGAGAAAATTAACAAAAAATTGAATACTATACTATAAATATATATATATAGGGAGAGAATTCATAAAGTGAATTAAATCGATTGGAAGATTATTTTTCTATAATATATAAAGTATTGTTTCCTATTTTTAAATGTCTTACTCATATAGTATTTGAATAGAGAGTATTAATATTCCCTCTGATAACTCTAATTCACCTGAATTTTCAAAATCTTGTTATCTGTTATTGGGCTCTAAAGGCACATTATAATTTATAAACAGAGATGTAGCAATATCCTGTTTCACCAGATAAGCTCTAAAACTTTAGATCTTTCTAATTTTATAAGAAAGTGGTATATGCTGACTCTGTTGTTAAATATTATACAAATTTTATGTTAATTACAGCTAGGGATTTGGCTATAATTAGGAAAAAATTTTCCCATTTAAACATGTTGACCTACATTAAATATTGCACTTTTGTGCTTTAAAAAGCCAAGTTCAGCTTCCTTGAGTTTTTTTTTTTTAAGCTCAGCTTTTAAAGTTGTCTATTTCACGCTACATTTTAAAAATAAATGTTAACATATTTAAATTTCCACTGAGATCACTTTTGTGGCATACTTCCTCAGGATTTTTATATCATTTAAATTTTATGAAATGTAAAAATGTAATAAAATATAAGTGCTAGTTCTACCAATATACTCATAGCTATTTTTAAACATCCAGTAGCAAATCAAGTAAAAATAATAAAATAATATTTTATGAATAATATGTTAACCTAACAATTACAGAAGGGCTGTAAACATGAACCTACTGCTAATCAATAGTGTACTCTCAGTGCAAGCCAAGCAGATGTTAGATGGAGATAGAAGTTATTTATTGCACAGGTGAAATAAGATGCCTATTCAACTTAACAACAGTACTCTTAGTTTGTAATAGACTTTAAGTACAGCGGTTAGAAATATTTAACATGTTTTAGTCCAGGGACATCAATGAAAGAAAGTGTATAATTCAAGCTAGATATCTATATGGAGCCCTGTAGTTGCATAATTTTAAGTCTTTTGAAATTTTAAGATATTAGAAAAAACATCTCAAAAGTTCAAATAATAGTGGACATCCATTAAGGTTAGTCTATGTTGGAAGCAAATGAAGTATGAAATGTAGTCAGTTAGCTTTGCAGTTTAAGATAGACAATTCACTACTGCTCCAATTATGTAACGGAAGAACTGGATAACATCTATAGGTTTAAGCATGATAATAATGAGTTTAATGATGGCGTAGCCACCAAAACTATCTTTGTAAACGAAGGATGTGCAAATAAAAACCTATCGGCTATAAGGGGAAGTCATAGGTTAATACAAAACAAGTCTGTGTACAAGTCTTTAAGCAAGTGTCCATGAATAGCAAGGGGTGTCATGCTCTTCATTGGAGAAAAAAAATTACCTATTTGTCTTTACTAACCTCTAACTGAAATTGAGCATTCCTTTTCATTTTGAATGTAGGCAAAAAAAAAAAAAAAAAATCACAGTAATACTAGTAATACCTATGAAGCCACAGATATATGCATATCTCATTAGAGTTACAATAAATATATCAAAATATCATTTATGCTCATTACTACTTCAAAACTGCAATACGTATTATATCTGCTACAGGATCTTATTACTGGGCTTTAAAACATTATTCTGAGGAATCTCAGGCTTCAACAGATTGCCAAAGAAGTCCAAGGCATAAACAAATGATCCTAGCCTGCTGTCTGCCCAGAATCTCATCCTAATTTACTGTGGTTTCAGTCATTTTAATGTGCAGTCACTATCTTCATACACTCCTTTTCTTCTGGAGCATTCTAGAAGACGTACCAGTCAAGGGATTCTGGGGAGCCAGGCTTTCAAGCAATGGATTGCTGACAACATAATGAAGAGGATTTTACTTAGAATAATCTCAGTTGATAAAAGATTGAATGTGAGATAGAAGCAAGGCAGTGGGAAGTGGAATTCCTAAACTGAGGAAGCTCCAAATCATAACCCTTAGCAATAATAATAATATTTCAAAACATTATAGTTCTTTCTTCTTTTAGATAAGTCTGATATTGCTTATCCCATTTCACAGATAAGGCAATTATTCCACTAATATGCATTAAGGAATAGTGATTTTAATTTAAGTGTTACCTTAATGAAAATATTTTTGAATTTTTTCTTTCCCCAAGTCTTTTTGTGAACAATTTCAAACATATAGAAAAACTGAAAAAACAGCAAAATGTATGCCCATATACACTCTTTTCCTCCCCCTGAATTCTTAGAGTCAACAATTATTAACATTTTGCCACATTTGCTTTTTCTCTCTCTCTACCCCCTCTGTGTCTGTCATATATAGGACATCTCATACACACACACACACACACACACACACACACACACACACACACACACACACATACACATACACACACACATACACACATACACACACACATACACATACACACACACATACACACATACACACACACACATACACACACATATACACACACATACACACACACACACATACACTTTTTAAAATATTTGCAAATAAGTTATAAATACCACTATACCCCTAAATAATTCAGCATGTGTCACTTTGAAATACAGACATGCCATATATAACCATGCCTGTTTATTACACTCTCCTCCAAATTAAATATAATACTACATTATTATTAATATTCATTGCATATTCACATTTCCTTCATAGTTCAAAAATGTCTTTTATATTTTGCAGGGGAGTTAGTACCCACATCTTATCATGGCTCATGCATTACATTTGGCTATTATGATTTTTTATCCTTTTTAGTCTAAAATAGCCCTTCCACATTTTTTTCACTGATATTGAAATTTGAAAATGTCCAAGACACCAGCCTCAAAAAATGTCTCATCTTTCAGGATTTGTTTTATTTTGTTTCCCCTGATGGGATTACTTAACTTGTTCTCTAGTCTCTGAATTTCTAGTAAACCGAAAGTTAGGTCTAAATAAGACTTCAGGAGATGCATGTCAAACATTTTTGGCTAGAATATTTCATACAAGATGCTGTGTATTTTGTATTACATCACATCAGGAGCTGCATCATACGAAGTAGTCTCACTAAATGCTGCAAAGTTGTATTACTTGCTTCAGGTGGTGACTGACAGATCTTGCATTATAATGTCACATATTTTCTGTGCAATTAATAAATCATCTAATGGCTTTAGTATCCATTGATGATCCTTCCCTAACTCCCTTATTACACTGGGGCTTGCAAAATGGAGATTTTCCTAATCTAACATGATCTTAAATTTACCAGCTGACTTTCTTCTGTTAAAAAAAAAAGGTTTTTCCTCTATATTTATGTCAAAATGGACTCATAAATTTTTATTTATTCAATTTATTATTATGAATTACAGTTATTATTCTTGCCCAGAGCTTCCTGCTCAATTGTCCCAGGCTCACCTTGGACTTTTCCTACCCCAGATTTAGAATTACCCATTTTTTTCGAGGAACTTTGG